AAATGGAAAGTCATTACTACTTTGCAAAAGTACCAGGCTGCTGGTAGTAAAGTAAAAACAGCAGAAAAGGCCATTGACTGTCCGCCAGGCGCTGGTGTCTGGTGAGGCCTGATCCTCCAGTGTCAAGCAGGTGGGCCAGGGCCGTGAGGAATTAAAGGCCCGCTAGACCGAATCGAGCTCCCCCTCAGAGAGTGTCCTGCAGAGAGCCCTGCACGGGCAACAGCTTTCCTCCTGACGGCTTTCCTGCCACGTCGGAGTACCCCCTCAAGTGCTCACGGCATTAATCCGGGCCCTGCTTTGGGAAGCCCCGGGGTGAGAGGGAGTCTGGAAGCTTGGGATCCAGCCAATAGGCTGCAGATTTGGGGCACTTTCCTCAATGTTCTCATCTATAGAATGGAACGAAAACTCTGTCTCCTGTGTCTCCTTGGCTGTGGTGGTTGTAGCATCCAGGGAAGGCCCAGTGCTGTCAGCCCCCTCCTGCTGTTGGCTCAGTGTGACCTGCTGCAGGATGAGCCCTTAGCCCACCCCGTGCACAGCCCGGTGGTCCACACCACCTCCCTCAGGCCCAGGGAACATCGGACTAGGTTCCTGGAGGTGGGTCCACACCATTTCCAAGGTGAGGACAGAGGGTCTTGCAGGGCGGGCCCCGGGCAGACGCCACTTTCTTTCCCTGTCACCTGAGAAGCTATAACCAGGTAGGGCTGACAGACAGCCGCTCAGAGGGGTTCACGACTTACCCGAGGACGCACAGTGCTAGGTGGTGCAGTCAGGGCTGGAGCTCAAGTCCGACTGACCTGCCCGAAAGCTGGTTGCTCTGAGCTCCCTGGTGAGCACTCTCAGGCCCTTGTTCTGCGCCCAGTCAGCAGCCCCATGCTTAGTCTGCCGGCCCTACCGGGCCAGGCTCGGTCTGGATTACCTTGCACTTTCCTGCCACTGAGACTTGGCTCGAGCTGTTCCCTCTTTCTGGAATGGCCTTTGTCTTTTGCTAAAGAATGGCCAGCTTCTGGGGCCAGGCCTTGCATCCCTCTTGGTGGAATCTCTGAATGATGTGTTCCGTGCTGCCTTGTATCTTTTGGCCACACTAGACCGTGAGGTTCCTTGGGGACGGGGACCCTGAATTGTCGTTGCCCTCCTGGCAGGGGTGTGGGAACATGGTAGGTGTACCCCAGATGCCAGCAGTGACCCCCATCAGGAGCACCGTGCATTCTGTGCGGTGGTGTCTCCTTTGATCCTCCCAGAGACCCTGGCCCGTTAGCTTTCCTTCCAGACAAGGACCACGCAGACCAGAGAGGGGATGGGGCCTGTCCAGGGTCACACAGCGTAGGAGGACATTGGGAACTACAGCCAGCACTCCGTTAAGAGCTGGAGAAGGGCTGGCTGCTGCGGAGAGAGCCGGGGCGGCCGTGATACCCACGGGGACGGCCGGGGTGTGGACGCTGGCTGGCACCCAGCCAGTGGGGGTGGGAGGGAGGGGGAGAGCGAGAGGCCTGCAGGCCTGGCCCAGCGGGAAGGGGCAGGCCCTGCCTTCAGGAGCCCCCAGCGCTGGTGCTGACCCCTTTGGTGGTCCCTGCCACTCTTTGAGCCTGTTTTACCCACCCAGGAAGGGGTTCCTGCTTTGCCCTGTCAGCTCTTTCAATACAGATTTACTTCGTCCACCCCCCAGTGTTGGACCCTGAGGAGGAGCCGGGGCGGGCCCTGCCCTGCAGAGGCCTAGGCTGGGCTGGGGGGATGGACAAGTCCTGTGGGGTACGATGGAATGATGTAATGGGTGTCGTCACAGGGGTTCCAGAATTGCAGAGGGGAGGGGGCAGGGGGGAGGCCCTTGGGCTGAGCTGCAAAAGGTGACAGGGAATGCATGTGCAGAAGGAAAAGTGTGTACGGAGGCCCTGCGTACGCCGCTCTTAGGGAACTGCTGGGGCTCTTAGGTTTGGAACTCCGTGTGGAGAATGAATGATAGGGGTGGGGTGAGCTGGGCCGGGCTGGAGGGAAGAGGGCGGGCAGCCGGGAAGCTCGGACTTTCCCCTTAACGCTGGCTCGCACACAGTGTGAAGATGCTCAGAAAGGGGAAGCGCCCTGCTCCCAGCTCAGGCCCAGAGGGAAGAGCCCCCGGATTTGGAAGATGGCTCTCCTGACTCTGGCTTGATTCACGGCCTTCCGTGGTGATGCCTGCAGCTACAGGGAGAGGGCAAAGCTCAGAGGCTCTTGACTCTGGGACCCCCATGGGGTGGTTGACCCAGTAGAGGGAGTGGGAGGTGATCTTGGGGCCCTCGGAAGGTGTGGGAGGACAGTCACCATGAGGTGCCATGTGTACAAAGGCTGGGGCCAGAAGAACCTGGTGTCAGCAGGCCAGGGGCAGCCTCGCTGACAGGGGTGCGGCTGGAGCGATGGCCGAGCTGGGGCAGACCTTCAGCCAGGCCTGGCCCCCGTTCTCCTGGCCTGGGCCCAGCCAAGCTTTCCTCTGTGCCCCCACACCCCTTCTGTCCTCCTCCGGGGAGCGTTCACCGTGGTGTGGCCTGGGGTCACCAGAGCCCTCATTCTCCACTGGCCTGGCTCTGCAACCTCCGCCAGCTTGTTCCCCCTCCCTGGGCCCTCTGGGCTCTGAACGTGGAATTGCTAGAGCTGATTCCTGGGATCCTGCTCTCAGCTTCTTTGATCTAATTCTTGCAGCCTTAATTGCTTCCTGAGCAGGCCGTCCCGGAAACTGTGATGCTAATGACTCTCCTGGCTGGCCCCGTGCCGGAAGCCCGGGGGCTGGCTCTGTAGGCTCCCCTCTTCTCTTTCCCTCAGGCCTCCAAGGCCGGGAGGCTGGGTGGGAGGGGGCAGGGCCCTGGGCCTTCCTGCCCGAGAGGTTAAGTGGTCGGCCTGAGGTCACACAGCAGCGGGAGCAGGCCCAGTGTGGATGTGGGGCAGAAGGTGCAGCTGTCGTGTGCCCTCTCTGCTCTTCCTGCCGTCTGTCCGGATTCCACACTCACCGTCCATCTCACCTCCTGCCCTTCCTGCTTCTCCCTTCCCTTTCGAATCCCTCTTCTTTCCCTTCCCGTGAGGCTGGCTCAGTCGTGGTGGGTGGCCTTAACCCTTTCTCTGCGCCACAGTTCTCACTGGGCCAAGGTGGAGGCACCGAGGGATGTGGGTTCAAGTCCAGACTCTGCCATGGGACGTGGGCAAGGCTCCTCCCTTCACTGAGCCTCAGTTTTCTTTTCTGAAAAATGGGAGCAATGAAAGACTTGCCCAGCACTGTTTGCAAAATGCTGCACACGACGCTCTTGCCCCCTGGTGTGCACGTGGCAGGTGCCCGAGGGGTGGAGCTTCTCTGGGTAGTGAGAGGGGGCTTGTCTCCTCTTCTTGCTCTCCTCCTTCTGGCCTGCTAAGCAGTGCTCTCAGCCTTTGGTTAATCGTCACGGCATCTTCCAGTTAGTAAAGCAACGTTGTGCCCATTGCGGAGCTGGGAAAATGGGGACTCAGAGAGGCTGAGTGACTTATTCAAGGCCACACAGCAGGTGAGAGGTGCAGCTGGGACTGGCATCCACATCAGACTTGCTGTCAAACTTGTGTTCACCCCAGGAGCCAGCCTACCTTGCCTTGGTTTCCCTCAGCGGGGCTGGGAAGCCAGGGCCTGTAGCCCGGCGGGGTTGCAGTGTTGCTGCCCTGGGCAGGCCCCAGGACCAGCAGACCCAGGGGGTGTGGAGCTCTGCCAGTGGCCCAGTTGGAGTCTGAGATACGGGGGCTGTCGGTCAGATGCCCGGCTGTCTGAGCACGAGTCAGGGCGTCTCATGTGTCAGGCCGGCTGCTGTGTGCGCCCTCCTCCCAAGGCTTTCCCTGGCCATGTCCAGGCCATGTCCCTTGTGTTTGGTGAGCACTCGGCTCCGAGCCCGAGGGGACTGCAGGGAGGCTGCTGACGGAAACAGCCTCCTTCTGTGTCGGGCTCCGTGTAGGGGCCACATGCACACAGGGAACCAAGCAAGCAGATCCTGCTCCTGGGGCTTCTGGTCTAATGGGTGCCTATGGTCCCATCTCCTGGGACAGGGGGTGTGGAGGGAGATGAGGAGTTCAGTTTGGGATTGGTGCCTGTGGGTGCCTGGGCCCTCATCGGGGTGGGCAGGTTGGGGGCCCAGAAGAGGGGTCCAGGATGTATAATACAGGGAGATGGGAGTCATCAGGCAGGGGAGGTGAGCAGAACGCTGCTCCGTGCAGGGCCCGGGCCGAGAGGGAGAGGGGGAGGGAGGGCAGGGATGGGGAGAGGGTCAACCAGTGCCGCCGCTCCTTGGGGGCACTGGATGAGACTGTTCAGGAGTGAGTCTTGGTGAAGTCTGGGAAGCCTTCAGGGAGAGCCTGGCGTAGGAGATTGGGAGGCCATGGAGTGAGGGATGGGGGGGCCTCAGGGGAGGTTAGGTCACTAGGATTAAGGAGCCACGAGATGTTTATTCCAGAAGCAACTGGAAGAAGGCAGTGCGGGAGGGCGGGCCTGGGGAGTGAATGTGAACGATGGCCAGAGGGGGCACCCTCCCCATGGGGCAGAAACAGGCCTCTGGATTAAGTGGGGAGGGTCCGGAGGAGGGGAGCTTGGAGGCAGTGCCCCTGCTGTCCCGTGCGTGTGGCACCAGCCAGGGAGCTGCTGAGTGGGCCAGGAGTCTGACTCGGCTCTAGGAGGTCTGGGGGTGGCGGCGGGGGGGGGCGCTGGCGACAAAGGAAGGAGCAGGCGGGTGCGGCCCGGGAGCCCTGAGCGCCTGTTGGCCTGCAGGCTGGCATCACCTCCAAGCATCAGACATGAGAGCATTCAGGACGAGGCGTCAGGGCAGTCGGTTCCTGTCCCTGCGTGCGTGTGGCAGCTGTGTCTGTCCCTGCCTCTGAGCCTCGGCTCCTGGCCCGTGCGACGCAGATGAGGGTGCCCGCCTCACAGGGCTGCAGGGAAGGGGGCACCCCAGGCTCCCCTGACTCGGCGGGCGGCAGGTCCTCCAGTCTCCTCAGTAAGTGATGATCTTCTCCCCTTCCTGGCATCCCAGGGACCTCAGGAGCCACCCGCGTCCCCACCTCGCTGTCTGCTGCCTTGTCTCGGCCTCCCCTGCTGGGGCAGCCGCCACCATGTTCTCGTGTGTGAAGCCCTACGAGGACCAGCACTACTCTGCCCTGAAGCGGGCCTGTCTGCGCAGGAAGGTGCTCTTCGAGGACCCCAACTTCCCAGCCACCGATGACTCGCTGTACTATAAGGGCACCCCAGGCCCCACAGTCAGGTGGAAGCGGCCCAAGGTCAGTGTCTGGTCACGGTTGGAGCCGCGGCCAGCAGGCTCAGCCCCGCCCAGTCTGCAGGGGACGGGGCGGTGGCTGGTCATCCTGAGCCCCCAGGTGGCTGGGAAAGCGGAGGGCCCTCCTGCTGCGGTGTCTCGCCCGGATGGGGAGCCGGGGAATCACCCTCATCCTCGGGCCACCGCTGCCCGGCCAGGACCTCGCCCCTTCTCTGGGCCTCAACTTCCTCACAGGGAAAATGGGCCCCTCTACCCTGCCACCCAAAATGAAACCCAGGGTGGTTTGGGGCTAAAAACGAGGTGAGTGTTCGACTCTCGTACAACATAGAGTGACATTCAAGTGCAAGCTGTTTGCTGATTGTTGTCATAAAGATTTTGAGGTGGTCATTTGCTGCAAATGAAAAGTATTCATGATGATGGTTAATCAATACTAAGAACAGCGGTAAGAGGTGACGGTGCCTTCTCGGGTTGTTGGGAACATTCCGAGGGATGGCAGGTGAGTAAGCGTGACACCGCACCCGGCGCCCGGCGCCCAGCACCAGCAGTGGCACCATTACTGTTGAGGATGGCGAATCCGCGGCATCCGTCTGGCTGCTCCCCATGCCGGCTTTGGTCGCCGATGCCAGGACGTGTCGAACAGAATTGTTTGGCCTCGTGACACGATTCCATCCTCTTTAACGCCGATCCCTGCGTGTGAGGCCCGGGCCGCTGCTGGCTCTGAGTTGGTCACACAGGAGGGATGTTGGTTCAGGGCGCTGTGCTGTGCCCCTTGCCCCGTGGAAGTGGGAGGAGGCGCCGTGTGGAAAAGGCGGGAGACTTGAAACCCTCAGGCTTATTTGGGACATGGCAGGAACACCGGGGAAGAGGGAGCCGGAGCCTGGGTCTTGGGTTTGGTGGGGCTGGTGTGCCCTGGGGAAGTGGGAGCCTGGGAGGGTGGTGGGGGGGGAAGCATGAGGTTTTCAGCAGGGTGTGACGGGGGCAGATTTGCATTTTATGAAGTTCCCTCCAACCTCCTAGACATTTTGGGAAAATGGGATTCAGTTTTCGTGTTCCTCTCCTAGGCTGTGATCTCAAGTCCCTTCCAACTCAAAAAATCCTGGGTATTTTCTTGGACTGGGGTACTTGAGAGGCAGAGGCACTGAGGCCAAGGCGGGAAGGCGCATGCCCCGATTGCCCGGGGAGCCAGTAATTGAGCCAGGCTGGGACCCAGGAGTCCTGCCTGCCCTGGCCCTCTGCCCGACACCTTGGTTCTCCGGAACTCCCAGGAGCCTCCTGGCCTGGCCACAAGATTCCTGCCACTCAGGCCCCCTGCCCCCATGCCTTCCTCTCTCTCCTTTGTCTGGTGGGTGGGGAAGGAGGCCAGCCTCAAAGGGCCTTTGTGAGGCCTTGGATGTGTGTTGGGGGGAGACACACCCTGCCTTCCTCTCGCTCCACCCCCTTGCTGCCCCCGTCCTGCCCTCTGGCCAGCACACAGACATTTTAGATCCGTGGCTCTGGAAGGAGGCTGGCGAGGCATGGCTGGGGAAAGGTGGGCTTGGTGCGGTGAGAGGAAGAAATGCCAGTCTGCCTGGGCTTAGCATCTCCCTGCTGTGTGATCCTGGAGGAGTCACCTGCCCTCTCTGGGCCCCTTTCCTTGCCAGTTTGGGAGTTCTGCCATGCTGCACCCTCCTTCGTGGCCTTCCTCACTGGGCGTGGTGTCTGGTCCTTGCTAGATGCTGGCAGAGGAGGAGCAGGCCCTCCCTGCCCTGCCTGTGGAGGCCGGTGACAGGCGGCTGGTGGCGGTTGGTGCTGACAGGGAGACATCTGAGTGCAGCCCATGGGTGGCGGTGGGGGGATGGGTTCTGGGTTTGGGAGGCAGAGTTCAAGGCTAGGCATAGCTGAGATGGGGTGGACCAGGGTGTGTTGGACGGTGGGTGTGTAAGCGGCGCCTGCTGGGTGGTGTGGGGCTCGTGTACCGGGCAGGCCCTCGCCCCACGGTCAGGACGGCTGGTTGGTGGAGCAGGAAGTCAGGCCCGGCTTTCCTCCGGCGGGTGGGGCGAGGCCAGCCTGGCGGGGTGACCATTAACTCCCAGCTGCTTGGTCCTTGGCCAGGGAGATGGAACTTTGTCCCGAGGCAGCTGTGTTTTCATGAAGTCCTACTTCCTGGGGCTTGTGACCGGACTGTTTGTAAACAGAGCAAAAAACTCCTTCTGGACAGCCCCTGGGAAGGCCTCCTTCACTCCACCCCGCCTTCAGCCCTTCTCTTTAAGTTGGTCAGTGTCGTGGTCTCTCCGTTCTTGAGGGATCTTCTCAGTCAGCCTCCCTCCCTGCTGGCCTTCCCTGTGCTTTCTCCCAAAATGGAATGAGAAGGCTGGTTTGTGAGCCAGATGGACTTGGCCCTACCTCCCAGGAGGGTCATGGGAGGTGTGACCTTGAGCAAGCCACTTCCTCTCCCTTGGCCTCGGTTGCTTCATCTGTAAATGGGAAGACTAACTCTTGCCGATCATGGTTTCTGGAGGTTGAAATGACTTGAGGTACCTGTGGTGTTACATGTGGGAGGCAGATGACAAACCGGCCCCCTCTTTCCCCCACCTCCTCCTTGCTAACCCTGTGCTGGGGACCCAGAGCTTGCCCTGCCTGGAAAGAGCCATCTCCTGTGGACTCTGCAGGTGGGGCCAGGCCCCGTCCACCTCTTCCCGACCCAGGGCACCTGCCTTAGGCCCACACCCTCCTCTTTCCTCTGGGTTCATTGTTCCTTTGTTCCTTCCAGTTGGGTAAACGCCTGGCAGCCTTTCCCACAGGCCTGGCCAGGGAGATAAGAGAAAGAGACTGTCATCAAGGCCTGTGACTCAGGGGGAACCCTGAGGGTGTGGATGTTTGAGGGGCTTCCTCCTCTCTCAGGCCCAAGGCCCTTGCAGGGGCCCCTTTTCGTCTCTGTGGGGACCGAGTACTCCCTGTCCCATCCAGCCCTCTGCCTTCCCCCATGTCTGGAAATAAGTTTGCAAGTCCTTTTGTGGAACCGAGAAGGAACAAGTAGGGGTTCTACAAACAGATGTTGGTTTTAGGAAGCCCCCCCTTGGAATTCTCCCCCCCAATGGCCTGGTGTTCCCCAGCCCCAAGTCCTGGGCTCAAGTTCATCACACCAGCACGTGGAGAAGACCCCACTCCTTGGCTGTGCTGGGATGTAGGCCCCTTTATGCCACAGAACAGGTAGTTTTGCTGGGGCCAGCCATGAGGGCCATTTTCCGGCCCAGGAACGATTCCCTTCTGGGCACGAGCTCAGGCGGCCTTACAGGACGGGATTGCTGGGGGTGGGGGGAGCACGGGATGGCTATTACTCCTGAGAACCTGCCCTTCTTCCTGTCCCAGGCAGACGGACTGCTTTCCTCCTGGGCCTTACTGTCCCTGGGTGTGTGGTCCATTCCTGCTGGGATCTTAGATTGCTGGGGGGCGGTGACAGATGAGCAGGGGGCGGGAGAGGAATGTGCCCCGGGTCCGCTGTCTTGCTGCATGCCTGTTTGTACACCAGGCCTGCAAACCTGAAATTCTCGTTGTGCCCCGGAGGCAGACGGTTCTGGGCTATGCCCTGTGTCTGGTGGAGCTGGTCTGACAGGCTGAGGGGCCAAGAGGTGAGAGGTGACTGTGGATGTACAAGGCCGTGCCCCAGAGAGAGGTTCCTAGAGCAAAAGAGCCGTCACCTCCCAGCCCTGGGGGATGGCTTGGTCCGGGGCTCCCCGCAGATGCCTGCCTGGCCCAATCCTGCGAGCCACTTTGCCCTCCCTTGCTCCCGGGGAACCCACCTGCAGTCCCAGCAGCACCTGCCAAGGCCTGCTCCTGACACTGGTAGTGGGCAGAGTCGGGCCTGGGCCCTGTCCTGGAGCTCGCAGGCTGGTGGGGGTGACCCAGAGCGTGGACAGTGATAGGAGGGAGCACAGGTGGCCAGGAGCCCACGGGAGCATGGTGTCAGGGGTGGCATGTGTCTCAGTACTGTGGCTGGATCTCTTCTTGGGGTGAATTTGGAGTCCCTGTTTCTTTCCAGAGACCTCCCTACCCACTGGCCCTCTCCATGCGTGCTCTGTTGGTGTCACTGCCTCCAGGCAGTCTCCTCTGATCTCTCCCTGGCTTCCTGCTGTCAGTAGCTCTGCTCACATGGAGGGTCCTAGTCAGGCTCTTCCTCCTCAGGGCCTGTGCCCTCAGGCTGGGAACTTCCCTGACTAGCTCTGTGCTCTGTGCCCGGGAGAGATGGAAGGACAATCACAGGTCTTGAGATCCTGGCCCTAAGGGTAGGTGAGCGTCTGGGCTGCCCCTGACCCCTCGGTCTCATTATTGTGCAGCAGGTACCCCGAAGCTGGGCTGAAGACAGGTGCGGGGGGAGGGGTGTGGGGGGGGAGGAAGCAGGGTGGTTTTGTCTCTCATAAGTCCTAGCCCCCCGCCCCCCCAGGCTGTGGTGCTGACTGCCTGAATTTGGATCTCACTTCCCCTTTTCCTCTGTGGCCCTAGGCAACTGACTTAACCTCTCTGTGCCTTGGTTTCCTCGTCTGGGCCAGAGCCCTGTTCTGGGTGGCAGGGCCAGGCTGGGATGGTCGGACCTGCCCCGCAGGTCAGCCCCGGCGGTCCCTGCTCAGCAGGGCGGAGGAGAGCCCTACTCAGGGAGCCCAGCCGACCTGGGTTCTGTCCCATTGGCTCACTTACTGCCATGTGCCCTTGGGTGTCACTGCCTCCTCCTGGGCCTCGGCATCCTCCTCCGCGGACCACCGGGCAGTCATGTCTCTCCAGCGCCTTGGCCAGGAGGATCTGAAGGGGAGGGGGTACTAGGAGGTCACCTCTGCAGATCCAGGTGATGCCAGGCTGTGACTGCCTCCCCTCCCATCTCAGGTGGGCATGTGGCTGGGATCCTCCAGGTATGAAGCAGCCCCCACTCCCACCCTGCCTGCAGGGAGGCGGATGCTAAGTCACGGCTCCCTCGGGCTCCAGTGCCGGTCTGCGTGCAGGCCAGGGCCTGGGAGAGAAGATAGGAGGGTGGCAGGGAGGGAGGCGCGCTTCTTCCTGCCCTGCTTCCTGATAGCATGGCTTCTGCGTGTTTCCAGCCTCACTGGGTTCCCGTGACCCGGGGCAATATTACTCAGACCTGGGGCATGCCACAGTCTGTACTATGGGGAAGCCACCCTTGTGGCTTGGCTCTGGGTCACAGCGAAGTCCTGTCTGGAGCTCCAGGACAGGGCCCAGGCCGGACTCTGCCCAGTCTCAGGGGGGTTGGGCCTTCAATCTGGCCCTCCCAAACACTGGTTTTCCCAGGCAGAGGTGGCAACAGGAGTCCCAGACGCCTTAGTGAGAACCCGTAGCCCTTTGCCCCATTTTCCCTGTGGAGTGCCCGGCTTCCATAATCCGTGGAGTCCTTACAGAGCCCTGCAGGGAGAATGATCTGCCTCCTTTGCACAGGTGAGGAAAACAGAGGCTGAGAGAGGTTGAGCCACTGGCCCGAAGTTGCACAGCCATAAATGGGTCTTCCTGACTCTGCTACCTTCTGCTGGCTGCCTGTGGTAGGACCTCAGTAGCTCTCTGTGGTGGAGGCAGGCCCAGCTGTGTGTGGGGCATGCTGTTCAACCTCTCTGGGCCTCGGTTTGCTCATCTGTACGATGAGCACAGTGCCCACCTCTCAGGATCATGGTGAGGATGGATCATGGCGCCGGCAGGATGCCAGGCACACAGAAGGCCTGTCTCGGTGTTCACCACCTCCCTCTCAGCTCTGTGGAGTGAGGATGCTTCGGGACACAGGTGGGCACCTGCGTGCCCCAAGCAGAGACCTGGACTGTGAAGGGGGAAGGGAACTGCCTTCATATCCAGCCCTGTCCCCGCCTGGCCCATCGGGCCCACACTGGCCACATGAAAGGCCCTCCAGGAGCTCTGCTCGGCCTTGCTTGCTGTGTGTCCTTGACAAGTCACTGCCCTTCTCTGAACCTTCATTCCTTGCCCGGAAACTGGAATAACAACCCCACACTCCTCAGGTGGGTCGAGGGTCCAGTGAGACAGCCTGAGGCTGTGCCGGCACGGGGCCTGGCACGGTCAGCTCCCTGCTTCTCCCCTGCCCTTTACCACCCATTCATTCCCTGAGTTTGCTCTTTGTTTCCACCCTCTTTGTGACTGGGGGCCCGTGAGGGTGGGCTGATGTGGGCACTGCAGGGTTGCTGCTGCTGGAGGAGGACAGGAACTGACCCTTTGCTGGTTGGGGAAGAGCAGAGAGGGCAGGAGGAAGGGGGTGCCCCAGGGCCAGTCCCCCTAAGTCCTTCCACAGCATCTTTTCATCATCGAACCTCTGGCCCTGAAGGGCAGACTTTTTCAGCCCAGGGGAAGGGAGAAGGGCATCCCAGGCAGCACCTGGGGGGAGCTGGATTTGGAGAAACCGACCGGCCACACGGGGCCCCCAGTCTGCAAGGGGAGGCGGGCAAATCTCCACGCTGACAGTGAGGTCTCCGCTTGGCTTCTCCGCAGGACATATGTGAGGACCCCCGCCTCTTTGTGGACGGCATCAGCTCCCATGACCTGCACCAGGGCCAAGTGGGCAACTGCTGGTTTGTGGCGGCCTGCTCGTCGCTCGCCTCCCGGGAGTCACTGTGGCAGAAGGTGAGGCCTGGGGTGGGGCCCTCGCTGCCGGACAGGGGGAGGTGCAGCCTGACTTTATGAAAACCTGTGCGGGGTGGGGTGACACCACGGCTCCCAGCATTGGCTGAGCAGCAGAATTGCTGTCCCCTCACCTGCCGGCTTAGGCTCTCTGGGGCCGGGTGCTGGGAATCTCTGTAGCTCCCGAGGGCATTCTCATGTGTCCCCACCTGGACACTGGGGGCCCACGGTGTCCCTGGAACCACCTGGCAGAATCTGTACCTGTGAAATGTGGAAGCTGCCTGAATCAGGTGCAGTGTGAAGAGCCCACTAACTGGGCTCAGGAGGCCCCCTGCCAGTACCTGCTGTAGAGACGTAGCCAGTCCTTGTCCTCGTCTTGGACTCAGTTTTTTCACTTGTTCAGCGGGAGTAGTCCTGCTGGTTTTGTTTCATGATTTGTGGTTCCAAGTGCTGATGTTTTGGACCAGCGCCAAGGGCTTAGGGTGGAAAGAACTGGCTCCGGTCGTGACACTCCGCCCTCTTGTGGCGGCACTCGGCAGTGCAGCCCTTTAATCCCACACGGAGAGCTCCCTTCCTGGGGAAGCGGGGAGGCTGGGGTAGAGGCTGGGGTAGAGGCTGGGCTGCTGGTCTCTATAGAGTAATCCATCAGGACTGCATGCTGGGTTCCTGTGCTAGCAGATACCAGTCCCCTGCGCATCCCTGCCCTTCCTGCCTTTCCCCTGAGGAGCTAGCAGCGGGGCTTACAAGCTCTGGGCATGTCAGCCTTACGGCTTAGGTTGAAGCCTTTGCCTCGCCGTTTGGTAGCTTTATGATTAGCTCCGTTCACTCATCCAAAAAACCAGGATATGCGGGTAGCTCCCTCTCAGGGAGCTTGTTAGGGTAAAACAAGACACTGTTCTCAAAGGGCCTGTGCAGTGCCGTGCCCAGTCAATGGTGGCTGCATTACCCGTGTTTTGATAATTAATATTCATAGGACATAGTGGGTATTCCCAGGCAAGCAGGGAGCGCCCGTCAGCCATCAGAGGGAGCTGTGCCCTTAGCTGGGGCTGGGACTGTGTTAGGTGTCCTACTCTCTCATGTCTTCTGAATGGGGGTGTGACCTTTCAAAGCCACCCCAGGGTGGGTATCCCTGGGATCTGGCTCCTGTTGGTCCTGTGGGGACACAGGTGCTGGAGGGCCCTAGCAAAGGTCACTGCTGCGGCCTGTAGATGGGGGGGGTGTAGGATGTCCAAGCTGGAAGGGGCTCAGAGAGCCACATGTGGGATCATTTCACTCATGGGCCTCAAGGACCAGAGAGGGTTGGGGCCCAGTGCTGTTTTCTGGATGCCTATTCTCTGTCCTCACCCCCCTGCCTCCAGGTTCCAGGCTTCTTCTCTGGACCCAGAACTAGGTCCCCTGGCCTCTGAGCCCGTCCGCAGCTAAGTCAGGGCTCAGTCTGGGGCTGACGGTGGCACTCAGGGATCCTGTGGGGCTGGCCCTCTGCTTCCCACCCTGCCCTATAATCCTGTTTACCTGTGGTCTCCCTTCTTGAGGTGAGCTCCCCGTGGGCAAAGCTGGCCCAACTATGCCTTCCCACTGAGCCCAGCAGGATCCTGGCCCAGAGAAGGCTCAAGAAAGTTTTGAGAACAGAACCCCTCCCCAAACTGTTGGACCGGGCTGCTGGGCAGCAGCCCCACGGCCGGCCCTCCTACCCTATGCCTCCTGGGGCCTTCAGCGGGGCCAGAGCCTGGCCCACCGTGTCCCCTCCCGGGGAACGGGCTCGCTGATCATTTGTAGGGAGGAGGCTCCGCCTGCTGTGTGTCCTGTGCTGGGCCTGGCCTTCGGCGGTGCCCCAGTCCCCCCTCTAGTGAGTGGAAGAAGGGGCTCAGGACCCGCAGACAGGAGGACTGTCATTGATGCTGTGGCGGGTCTGTGTTTGTTTGTCTCTGGGCCGAAGCTTCTGCCTGCAGGGTAACAGGGCACCTGGCCTGGCTGGTCTGGAGGCTTCAAGGGCCCGGAGGCTGATCTCCAGGAGCTTGGGTCCCCGGGAGGCTGGAGCAGAGCAAGGTGCTCTTGGCTAATTGCACTCTGCCTCCTGGTGCTTCTGTGGTGACAACTCCTGGGCCCTAGAAGGAGGTAGGGGGCCCTGGGGAGCTTATTACTGTGCCTTACCTCCCTTCCTGTCCCTGTTGACTGGGCCCTGTTTGTTGTCAGCCCTCGCTTTAGGGCCCGTTGCCCTGCAGGGCCTCCCCTGCCCCGGTCCTGTTTTCTCCATGGAACAGGGGTGCTCAGCCTGAGCTGCACCCCCGTGCCCCCCAACCACTTCACTCTGGGGATACTGAGCCTCAGAATGCTGGTACACCACGCCCTCAACACGCAATACCCCCCTCCTCCAGGAAGCCACCCCTTTACCTCTTGATGCAGCCTGGGGCCGATGGGCACAGGATTTGAAACCAGCCAGACCTGGGTTGGATGCTGGCTGGGTCCCTTGTTGTTGTGTGACACTGGGCAGGGAAGATTCCTTCTCTGGGCCTTGGTGTAAACCTGACCTTTCTAGTCCCCAGAGTTGTAGGAGGATGAACGGAGCCTGGGGTAGGGGAGGGTAAGCCTGTGGCATTTAGTGGCAATATACCCGTGTTAAATCCCCTCCCTCCCCACCTCTGGGTTCCCACCTGTCCCTTCTACGAGACACCTCTTGGCAGTGGGCCTCCCCCTCCTGTGGGATCCCTGGTAGGGGCATTATGGTCTCCCCACCTCAGCTGTCCACTCTGTGAGGGCAGGACGGTGGACTTCAGGTGACCGGGTTTTGTGGACCAGCAATCAGGATATGACAGAGGGGTGGAGCATTTGCCATCAGGCCTGGTTCATTCTGGGCGCTCACCTCCCCCGGAGCCCGGTGCAGGCCCTGGCGTGGGGGCAGGCCCGATCCCTGCTCCGAGCCTCAGGTGCCCCTGGCCAGAGGAGGAAAGCTGCGTGGAAGTGAGTGCCTGGCTGTCTGAGAGGGAGTGTTGGGGGGTGGCCGGTCCTGGGGCGCGGCCGGGGGAGGCACGTGGTGGCAGGACTCAGTTCCATTTAAAATACTCCCCCGCCCCTGTTATCTGTGCGGCTCATGCCCGTGAGCTCCAGAGTTCATTCGGCCCTGGTAACTGAGCACCAGCTGTGCCCCACACCATTCCAGACACCGGGGCTGAAGATGTGCGTAAGTACTATGTTGCTGAAGGCTTGCTTTAGCCAGAAAGAACCAGTGTTAGGGTTTGCTATGTTTCCTTCTAGACTGTTTCTCCAGTTGGGGTTAAAGAGGCGTTTGTTTTGCTTTTCAGTACACAGTTTTGCAATCACATATGCAAGTTTGGAACCTGCTCTTCTCCTCTGTTCATTCCTACGCCAGGCTTTAGTGGGTCTTCCCAAGGTGTCTGGTGGCCGAGCAGAGAGCTATGGGTGGCACTGGGCCCAGCCCCACCTGCAGCCTCCTGCCCCCTTCCTCTCCCCCCTTCCCACTCGGGCCTCTCCTGCCCTGCCTGTCTGAGGCCCACGCCCCGGACGCCTTCCACCCTCAGCCTCCTCCTGCAGGTTGGCAGCCAGCCCAGGCTGAGCCCAGGCTCTCCTCAGGGGCGTGCAGCCCTTGGGTCTCCCGACGAGTAGAAACCGAACACGTCCGTCAGCGTCCTGCGGGTCTGGAGATGGGGTGGGCGTTCTCTCTTTCCTCAGTGCTGCTTCCAGAACGAACTCTCCCCTTGGAAGCCCCTACAGGCTAATGCTGTTGTTGGCTCCCCACGCCCCACAGCCCTGCCCACCTTGTTGCCAAACCCTGTGGACCATCTCCCACCGGGCACCAGGGGCTTGGCACCTCTAATTTCCCGGCCTTTTCCACCCAAGTGCTGCTGTGTCCCAGGGATTACCGCGCCCATGTGGCTGACACCCTGCCCTCATCATCCTGGCCTCAGTTCCTGTTTGCGGCCCCATCAGCCTTTACCGTCAGCCGCCTCGGCCTCCTGCCTCCATGGCGGCCACAGCCCACGCCTACATCTGCCCTTCCCGCAGGTGTTCCGCCGAAGGACCAGTCTCGTTGGCCTCACCCTCCAGGCGTGTCCCTCATCGTGCACTTCGACACACACCTGCCCCTAAACCTCGTTTTGGCTTCAGTCAGTGTCTGTGTACTCTGCCCATCTGCACGTCTTCCTCTGGTTGTCCTTGGCCTTGGGCCCTATCACATCAGCTCTCTTCTCAGTGCCATTCATTCATTCATCCATTCATCCAACAAGCATCTTCTGAGGGCCTCCTATGTGGCAAGCTCTGTTCTAGGTGCCAGCTTCACTTAGCAGTAATTCCTCAGCTGTGTTGTTCCCTCTCTGCAGCCGCAGAGTGAAAGGTTCTGGGAGGGTCAGGCAGTTAGACATCTCGCATCCTCTCGAATGCCCTTGGGGGATTGCCACCAGCGACCCCCGGACCTCAGAGCTTGAGATATTATCTGCTCACATGTTCTGTCCCCATTGGTGACCCCCTGCTGATCAGGTAGCCAAGATCTCACTGACTGATTTAGCCTCCATCTAGCAGTTACTGTGCTTGTGGTCCACTAGACCCTTCAGATTGTTTTCAGTTGTTACACTTTGGCCTGTGCCTCTGTCCTCTTTTCTGTGTGTGGCGTGTCATGGCAGCTTCCCCTCTCCCCTCCCACGCCCAGATATACTCACATAGTCCAGTTCTTCCATTTACTGGAATATACTAGCCGAGCCGCCTGGTTCTGCCTCAGGCACTGCAGATGCAGACATCTGTCAGATTCTTCCTCAGCCTCAAGTCTCCTGGGGGAAACTGAGGCTTGATGTGGGTGGAATAAGTGCTGGGATTTTAGTGGGAGGAGACCCGGGCGTGTTGAGGCAGGGCCAGCGGGCAGGAGTCCTGCAGGTCAGTGATTCTCACAGGCCCCGGGCCGGCAGCGTCAGCATCCCCTGGGAGGCTGGTAGAAGTGCAGATGCCCCGGCCGCGTCAGCCCTATTAAATCAGAAGCGCTGGGGGTGGAGCCCAGCGATCGTGTTCTAAGTCCTGCCCTGCAGGGGATTCTGACGAGGTCTAAAGTTTGCGCTCGTTTAGGTGAGAGGTGGTGGTGGCCAGGCCAGGCCAGTCCTGGCAGTGGGGCTGGGCGGGAGGGCTCCCAGGGTCCCTGGGAGGCAGAGCGAAGGCCTTGGCGGTTGAGTGTGCGGGGGTGAGGCTGAGGTGAAGGCGAGGTGGCTGCAGGCTCTGGCTGGGGTGACTGCACATCTCCGATCAGCAGGCTCCCTCGTTCCTTGTCCCCCCTGCTCGCCCACCAGGGGGTCTTCCAGTCTCTCCAGTGAGTGCCTGCTCCCCACCCCCCTCCCCTTCTCACTGCCCGATGCAGCCTCCCTTCTTCACAAACAAGCCTTTCCGGTGGGTCGTCAGGTCGTCAGGTCGTCAGGTAAGTCAGGGTGGTTACCACAGCCGTTGACATCAGCAGCCTGGTCCCCGAGGAGCCCGTAGTCCTCCCTCCCGCGCGCCGTGCCTTCATGACTGCCTCTTGGAGGAGAAGAGAGGAGGCATTGGGGGCCTCCCACCCCCGTTTGAGGACTGGGCAGGGCAAGGAGGGGAGGGGTCGGGGGAGGGCCGAAGGGGAGGCGGGGCATCCTCGGTGCGGGGAGGGGCGGGGGAGGCCCCTCTGGCCCTGGCGGCGAGGCCCCAGCACACCGGGCTCCTAGGCAGCCGTGCAAGCAACAGCGGCGGCAGCACCCGGGCATGGCGGAGGACGGGCCGAAGCAGCCGCAGCTCAGCATGCCCTTGGTCCTGGACCAGGACCTGACCAAGCAGATGCGGCTGCGCCTGGAGAGCCTGAAGAAGCGCGGGGAGAAGCGCCAGGACGGCGAGAAGCTGCTGTGGCCCGCCGAGGCCGTGTACCGCCTGGACTTCGTCCGGCAGCAGAAGCTGCAGTTCGAGCGCTGGGACGTGGTGCTGGACAAGCCGGGCAAGGTCACCATCACGGGCACCTCCCAGAACTGGACGCCGGACCTCACCAACCTCATGACGCGCCAGCTGCTGGACCCCGCTGCCATCTTCTGGCGCAGGGAGGACTCGGACACCATGGATTGGAACGAGGCCGATGCCCTGGAGTTCGGGGAGCGCCTGTCGGATCTGGCCAAGATCCGCAAGGTCATGTACTTCCTCATCACCTTCGGCGAGGGCCTGGAGCCTGCCGACCTCAAGGCCTCCGTGGTCTTTAACCAGCTCTGAGGGCAGCTCCTGGCTGCCACCCCCTCCCCATGCCTGCCCGCCCCATCCCCTGCCCGTGCCCCCTTCCCCGAGGCGTGTGTTTGAGGACATTCTTCTAGCTGCTGGCCTGTACTCAGCTTGCCCGGGACCCCCTGAGCCTGTGTCCTTCCTCCTCTCCTTTCCCGGGTGCTGGCGCTCCTGCTCCTGGGAGGAAGATGCAGAGGCCCTATAGTCTGGAAGCTGACCCGACTGCTGCTGCTTCTGCTGGAGACCATGGAGGCCCGGTCGGGGCCTAGGGCATCTGCCCTCTCTCTACTTCGTTGTCCGGAGAGCGACTCAGAGAGAACGAGAGAGACAGACAGACACCAAGAAAGAGAGATCCAAAGTGCCAGCCATTGGGCTTCCTTGGGAGACGGAGAGACAGACGACGGAGCAGCCCCCCTGGGGAATCCGCAAGCCTTTGCTGCCCTCCTGGCTGCAGTGCCCTTCGCTGAAGTCCAGAGGTGCACAGTGAGCCTGAGGACCCAGGAAGGTACTGCTCCTGGCCCGGGCCTGGCACGGTCCCATGACGCCTCAGGGGCCTCAGGACTTCAGGCAGCATTGCCGTGGGGGCTGATTTGGGGCAGTGGGGAGCGGCTGACAGGCTCGAGGCTGTGCTTGCCCATTCTTGCTCCTCTGAGAAGGACTCCAGGAGGGAGAAGTGCCAGGGACGAGACAGATGAAAAAGTTACATAGAGATGCATCTGTCTATACCTGTGCATATATATTGAGAGAGAGCGTGCAATATTCATGTGGTTGTGTTCCAGAGTCTGTACCTGCCCTGCGAGCAAGTCTGATTTTAGATGATCTATTATGTATCGCCCAGCTGGCTCATGGGTGGCCCTTAGCAGGGGATTGGTCAGGATGACCTTGGGGAGGGGGGCCTCCTGAGCTGAGAGCCTTTGAGGTTCATACCGTGAAGCAGGGAACAGCATAGTGAAGGGGTTTCCCTCTGCCTGGGGGAAGCAGGGTAGAGGGGTCCAGAGCCCTGGAGCTGGAGACATTAGATTGTTTGGGGCCTCAGGTGTCCCTGCTGGGATGTCAGGTTTTTTCCAGGTCCCTGGGCAGGAAAGGCACAGGCCCAGGGGGCACCTCAGGAAGTGCCTGTCTCCAGGCCAGCCCTGTTTTTTTCCTTTGCTGTCAGGAACAGGCCCATGACATTTTCCTCACGAAGCAGAGCCACTGAGGGCCGTGGGGCCCTGCGAACAGACGCACCGAGAGACAGAGGGCGAGAGCCATCCTCAGTGGTTGGGGCTGCTGGGAGGGTGAGCTCCCACTCTGGAGGCATGCAAACAGGAGTGGGGTGTTGGAGTTGGGATCCTTTAGGTGGGGATTGGCTGTGGTCCTTTCTGACTCTCCGCTCTCGGGCCTATTCCTGGCTGGGCTTGCCCGCCCATCTTCTCTGTTGACAGCTAGGGGTGTCCAGACTCCTGGAGATGGCTTTGCCCTTCGCCTCTCTGCTTGGCCTCCCCCTGCAGCTCGGGGGACCCTCTTGGTGCAGACTGCCTGTACCCACATCCCCCCCATGCACTGTGTGTCCCTAATAAAGCCTCTGTGTCCCCACCTCGTGGTGTGCAGTGTCTCACCGCGAGCCACCCCTGCCCCTTCAGGAGCTCTGACAGCCCTCTCCAGCCCCTCAGAGCCCTGAGCATCCCCTCCCGGGCCCTTCTCCCACATTCCCTTCACCTCCTCCTGCTGCTTTCAGAGATGAGGCCTCGAGCAGTCCAGGGACTGGCCCAAGGTCAGACATCAGGATGGGGTTTAGAACCAGGTCTCCTGACACCCAGCCGGGTACTAACACCCCTGACAGTTTTTCCCCCGTGGCCCCCAGACCAGCCTCTGTCCGGAGTGTGGGGCCATGCTGAGGCCACAGGGAGGTGCCGTCTGGTCCAAGCCATGCACAATCTCCAGTCTTCCCCCGACTTGTAGGGCGGCTGGGCAGTGGGCAGATGGGATGGGGGGTGGCACAGTTGGGGTGGGGTGGGGTTAGGCCCATGTCCAGGTTTCACTCAGCCTCTGTCACCAGTTTAATGCACGTCCTCAGGCAGCTCCCTGCTGACCAGATAAGACTGATGTCACCACATCACCTTAACATCACCTTAGTGCCCCACTTCGCCCTTTTCTAGAGCTCTTTCCCCTTGTCATCTCTCTGGAGCTCACACAGTTTTTGGACAGAGACGAAGAGGCCCAGAGAGTGAGGCCATCTGCCTGAAGTCACAGAAGGCCTGGAGGGGCCAAAGGAGGGGTATGTGTGTGGACCAGGCTCTGGGTCTGCGGCCCCGTGGGGTGGACAAGGGGCAGTGCCCCACCCCTCCTGAGGGCCCAGGCCTGGGTGAGGCCAGCTTCTTCCCAGTGACCGAGGTCAGGTCCTGCTTCAGGGGCCACACTTGGGGTTTTGCTTGGGAATGACCCTTGCTTCGAAATGCTCCACGAAGCCAGGTCTCCCTTTCCCCGGCCTCCACCCTGAGCCCTACCCGGAGCAGCTGCGGTCACCTTGTTTCCCTTCCGCAAGCCCTGCCCTTCCAGCCCCGGCCTCCATCCACTCCTGAAGATGCCTTTGGAAGGGGTGGGGGCAACAGAGCCCAGCCCTTCCACCCCTGCGCTCCTCCCTGGCTCTACAGCCGAGACTGGCCGGGGGGTGCCGGGAGTGGGAAATGAAGACCCATTTTCCATGGAACCCACAAGGAACCATAGAGTGAAGAGACCTGTCGTCTCCTGAGCTTCTGCCTCCCACTGAGGCAGTGGGTGCCGTGCTGAGGGGCCCGCCACTGGCCACCGATGTGACCCTAGGCAGCCTCCCTGGGCCTGTTGGCAGGGGCTAATGATGGTGCCTCCTTGTAGGGCCCAGGTGAAGCTTACATGAGTTAGTGTTAGTGAAACACTCAGGGCCTCAGGAGCTGGCACACGGCACCCTCTCTCCATTTGCTCATTGTGACTCTCGCGGTCGCTGTAGACGCATGGTCTTACTTTTCAGTTATTCTGAGAGGAGTGTCCGCAGCACCGATTTACAGAGCAGCAGCGCAGGGTTCAGAGAGGTGAAGTGAGTTGCCTGAGGTGGCATAGCAGCCCAGTGCTTCTGGGAGCGGGCAGGGTGGGCCGGAGCGACGGGCGGGGGCCCGGCTCTGGTTGGAGAGTGGACGAGAGGGCATGCATTCTCCTCCGCCATAATCACTGGGCTCAGAATGGCCCCGCTGAGGGGATCTTTAGCCCCCACGGTGTAGCTGGGCAGCCCAGCAGGAGGGGGCCTGCCCCAAGCCTGGGGTCCCACGCGGGTCTGAGCATCTGGCTGTGCCCCGTGGACAGGAATCCCCAGGCCCCTGCAGGTGCATCACATCCTCTCTCCGGGTGGTGAGCGACGGGGCTCTGCACTCCCGAGGGCGTGGGGGGCCCAAGCTTCCTGGCCTCTTCCCGTCATGGCATCTGAAACCCAGGAATTTGAGACTCTTGGAATCAGAAGCTGAGAACTGAGGAACTTCAGATACTTGGAACCAGGGACCCTCTAGTTTGGGGACTCACCCACCTGACTTGGGTAACCCCTGCAGCCCTTCAGCCCGCAGCCCTGCTGGCCCTTTTGCAGAAATGCCCCCAGCTGGCCCTCTGGGCTCCTGGGCAGAAATCAGTGAAAAGCTCCTTCCCTGTGCCACACCTGCACACACACTGATACTCACACATGACATCCGTGTGCACACGCACACCCACGTGCACTGACACCCACTTGCACACTCACACAGGCGTGTCCCACTGGCCCAGAGTCCCAGGAGGATTTGAGCCAGGAGCGTTCCAGGCACCAGGGCCCCATGGCGCCCGCATCGCCTGAGCGTTCTGGGCTGATTCTGCAGTGGATGCTGTCGGGGGAGGGCCTCCAAATCCCGCACAATCCTTGCCTGGCTGCCAGCTCAGCCTAAGTAAGTGTGTCGACCCCTCAGGCCTCTCTTTTTCCATCTGCATGGGGGGCTGTTGTTGAGGTTTTCCCCCAGGAGGGAGGCTGACCAGGTCACCTGAGCCCCCCACCAGCCCCAAGGTTTGCAGACTGTTGTGCGGGTGCACGCGCTTGAACTGCGTTCCCCAGCGGGATGACCCCTCACAGGTGCACAGCCCTCCATGGTTAAGGCGGCACCCCGAGGCCCCTGTCCATCCCGGGTCTCCCGGCAGCCCTGGAGTAGGGGCGGCGGATGCCGACGCTGAGCAGCGGCCGGTTGGAAGCTAAGTCCGGGCTATGCAGTGTGGTTGGACACGGGTCCAGGAGTGGCTGCAAGGTCACCGGCCAGACAGGGCCCTGCTGCGGCTGGCACTTGGAGACTTTTCTTCCAGAAAGACTTGTCTGGCTGTGGAGCTGGCCTCCCATGATTAGAGGGTGGGGTGGGGGAGGGTGGGATCTGGGCCTGAGAGTGGGCTCAGCCCCGCCCTTCAGAAGCTCTGCTCAGTGATCAGGGAAAGAGCCTGGGGGAGGGGCTGTCCCGGGGAGCTCCAGACCTGGAGAGCCCAGAAGCTGCTGCTCAGCTCGCCCCTGAGGGACAAGGAAGGGGACGGTACCGGAGAGGGAGCCAGGGGTGCAGATTTGCATGGGGCCCAAGGTGGGAGGCAGCGTTCGAGGGTGAGGCCGAGAGGGTCCGCAGAGCCTCAGGGCTGTGAACGCGGGGCCAGGGAGCTGGGGGCCGTGGGGATGGGCCGTGGCGTTTCAACTGGAGACAACATGGGGGGGAGAGAGATGGCTTAATGCACTCCCTTGTACCCCTCCCTCTGCCTCAACAACTGTCAACTCTCGGCCAGGCTTGTTTCCTCTTATTCCACCCCACCCCCCGCCCTCCAGGCAACGTGTCATTTCATCTGTAAATATTTCTGATGCATTTCTGGAGAATAAGGGGTCATCAAAAGCAAAACAGAAACAAAACTCTGTAACCACAACCCTGTAACACAACTAAAATAATTTCACATTTCACGATAATTCCCTCATTGCATCAAATGCCCAGGAGGAGTTTTGGTTTCCAATTTCTGCTTAAATTTTATTTATACCATTAGTTTCAAATGTAGAGTTCAGTAATTCATCAGTTGCGGATAACACCCGGTGCTCATCACATCACGTGCCCTCTTTAATGCCCATCACCCAGTTACCCCATCCCCCCACCCACCTCTCCTTCAACCCTCAGTTTGTTTCCTAGAGTTAAGAGTTTCCCTTGGTTTTCTCCCTCTCTGATGACTTCCCATTCAGTTTTCTCTCCCTTCCCCTATGATCCCCTGAGCTGTTTCTTATATTCCACATATGAGTGAAACCATATGATAACTGTCCTTCTCTGAATGACTTGTTCACTTAGCATAATACCCTCCAGGTCCATCCACATCGATGCAAATGGTAAAGATTCATCCTTTTTGATGGCTGAGTAATATTCCATTGTATATATATATCACATCTTCTTTATCCATTCACCTGTTGATAGACACCTTGGTTCTTTCCAGTTTGGCTATTGTGGACATTGCTGCTATGAACGTTGGGGTGCTGGTGCCCCTTCGGGTCACTGCATATATTACAAAGCTGAGCTTCGCCCATCTTTGGCCAGTGGGAGCCTCTTTAGGTTGGTTCTGGAATCCTTTGATGTGGCCCGAAGGTCCTTGGTTGCTGCCTTGATTCCTGGTACGATTGAACGTGGTGTGGGAAGGTTTGAGTTTGTGTGCCTGTGTGAGCACACCTTCCTGGACTGTGTCTTCCTTCTCGCTCAGGACCCTGCTGGTAGTAGAGGGGGTGTGGGATAAGAAGCTGGCCATGCTGGGCCCACTGGCCATGTTGTAGGAGGGGAAACTGGGGCCCACAGGGATTCCCTGACTCAGGATCTCCAGGCCTTAGAGCCTCATTGGCTGCTTTCTGAGCCAAAGAGGGCACAGGGCCAAACGCCGGGTTTGGCTAGTGATCCCCCTGCCTCCCCAGCAATACATCCCGGCACGCTGTGAGGGCTCCTCTTCCTCCATCCCCAGTCCCCGTGCGGTCCAGAGCTTTCAGAGCAGGAAGGAGTGGAGGAGGGTACGCTGGCTAGGCCAGTGTGCTCAGGTTCAGACTCCCTATCCTTCCGTGCCCTTGGGCAGCTCCTCGTTCCTCAGCCTTCCCATCTGTGCAGTGGGGATGATAAGCCACCGTGCATGTGCCCCATTTTTGATACAGCTTTCTGTCCTGAAAGCAAAGTGGGAGGCGATTCTGGGGGCTAGGGCAGAGACTGGCCCGGGAGATTTTCGAAAGGACACAGAATTAACTGACAAGGGACCACCAGGCAGTATTGAATCCTTGCTGGGTTCCAGATGGTGTGCTGGGCCCTGAAGCCTTGAGTGTGAATCCTACCTTGCTCACCGGTCCTCATGGGCAACATCGGGCCCGCAACTTCCTACAGTATTGCCCCGAAAGGTGGTGGGAATGGTCAGGGGCGGCCGAGCGAAGAGCCTGGTCTGTGCCTGGCCACAGGCAGGCCCCGCTACTGGCACTGTGGCCCCTCTCACCGTGCTTGGCATTTTCATTTGCTTGGTCTCCAGTGTCTCACAGGGACCATTTTTCTTTGCCCAACGTCCCTGTTGATGGTAGCAAGTGTGTAAACAAAAGAAGCCTTCTTAATGAGTGTGGGGATTGGGGAATGGCTTTTGGCTGAAGTATCTTGCGCAGGCTGGTCTGGGCTTTGGGATTTACGGCCTCCTGATGCATCTCTGGCTCTTCCGCCTGGATGCCTGGGTACCCACCCCCATCCCTGAGGGCGGTTTTCTTCCAGAAGGAGCTGTCCATGGTCCCAGTGGGGTCAGCCCTCCCTTGCTCCCAGGCTGGGGAGGGCCAGCAAGTCACCCTGACTCTAGGGTGAGGGGCTTTCCCTTGTCTGCCCGCCTCCTGCTGCCCAGATTTGCCTAGTCTGCTTGGGGGACGCCCACGGCCAGCTCTCAGGACACCTGCCAGGAAGCGGCTGCTGGCCCTGCAGGTCGGGCTCACCGCTCCCTTCTCTCCACACTCCCCATGCTCCCCATGTCAGCCTCAGCATTTGCCTCTTGAACCAGACTAGGGATTTCCTGGGGGCAGGGACCGTGGCTGATTCACCTGGGTCCTAAGTGTCAGCACAGGCCCAGTACGGAGCGGTCTGCAGGTCACAAGTCTGAATTCTGGCTTCAAACCCAGGTCTGCCTGACTCCACAGTGTGTGTTTTCTAGCCGTGTGACCCTGGGCAATTTGCTTGCCCTCTCTGAGCTTTAGGGGTATTTAGCTGTAAAGGAGGGATGGATGATAGTAATCTATGCACAGGGTTATTGTGCGAATTAAACTGAGATAAGCCCTGGCGGTTATAGGCATGGCACCTGGCCTGTCCCAGATGTTCCATAAAATAATATGTAAAAATCAATGCTTGTGAATTTTAACACCTGTTTATCGAGCATCCTCTCTGGGCCAGGCCCTGGACTAGGTGCCAGGCATACAGCAATGACCAGGCCCGATGTATCCCTGACCTCAGAGAGCTAACGTTCCAGTGATAATAACAGAATTGAACTGAGTGACACACACTTGTTTAATTATATTGCGGTAATGGTCCCCGAGAAGTGCCAGGGGCCGTGAGTCGGACAGATGGGGGTCCTGGCCTGGTCTGAAGAGTCAAGGAGGGCTTCCTGGAGGAGGAGGTGGACCCTAAAGGGCAAGTGAGAATCAGCTGGATGAAGAGGAGAAGGAAGACGAACCATGAGAGACGATGGACTCTGGAAAACAAACTGAGGGTTCTAGAGGGGAGGGGGGTGGGGGCATGGGTTAGCCTGGTGATGGGTATTCAAGAGGGCACGTATTCAATGGAACACTGGGTGTTATAGGCAAACAATGAATCATGGAACACTACATCGAAAACTAATGATGTAATGTACGGTGATTAACATAACAATAAAAATTTATTAAAAAAAAAAAAAAGAGGAGAAGGAAGAGCAGGTGCAAAAAGTTCTTGAGCGGAGAAAGAGCCCAGAGCAGGGAGCGGGGGCCGAGGGAGGTAGAAAAGCTGTCCTGGCAGTTGGTGGCGGGGCAGCGCACATTAAGGGTCTGGACTCACTTCCCAGGGAAGTGACATGATTGGAAAGATCACTGTGCTGCTGTGTGGGGAGAGGGCACGTGTGGCGGCCGATGCTGTCACAGTGTTCTGGGGCCAGGAGGTGGGGGCCGCCCAGGCTGGTGCCAGGCGACAGCCAGGAGATGGATTTTAGCAGAATGCAGGAGCTCAGATGGGCCTGATGGGATGGGGCGAGGGAGAGGGAGGGGCCGGTGTGGCTACCAGCTTCGGACTCGGGCTGGACTGGGTGGCGGCAGCACCATGCGCCAGATGGGACCTGGGAGGAATGCGAAGATGCAGAGGGAGGCCCGAGGAAGGGGGCGGGAGGCTCAGAGAGCCTTAGAGGGACAGTTGGCCAGAGCCTACGCCTAACCACTGCAGAGGAGGGAAGCTGAGGCCCAGAGAGGAGCAGCGCGCGCCCTAGTCCCGCGCTCATTCATGGCAGCGATGGGGGTGGAGCCCAGTACTCCTTTCCGTTCTGGTCCCCTGGAGGCAGGCGCCCCCGTGTGCTCGGGAAGCCGGGTGTGACCCTCACTGTGTACCTGTCCTGTCGCCTCCCACCCAGGTCATCCCAGACTGGAAGGAGCAGGAATGGGAGCCCGAGAAACCCAGCGCCTATGCGGGCATCTTCCACTTCCACTTCTGGCGCTTTGGGGAGTGGGTGGATGTGGTCATTGATGACCGGCTGCCCACAGTCAACAACCAGCTCATCTACTGCCACTCCAGCTCCCGCAACGAGTTCTGGTGTGCCCTGGTGGAGAAGGCCTATGCCAAGTAGGTGCCGGTGGTGGGCCAGCGGGTGGGGGCGGGGGGCCGGCTCCTTGCAGCTGCTCCTGCAGCCAGCGCTCCCGGCTCAGAGAGGCGAGGGGCTCTTCCGAGTCACACAGCGTGCTCGGAGCCTGGGAACCCACCCAGGGCGTGGTGGGGGGGGACCTGGACTGATAGTCTGGTACCTGGTGTCCCGTTCTTAAAACCAACCCACACAGACAGGAATGGTTTCTCCTTGTTCTACCTGAGTGGGCAGAGCCAGCACTCACATCCGGGTCGCTGGTTTTTTCCCACAGATCCAAGCTGCCAAGCCCTCCCTGGCAGCCTGGCTGGGATGTGGTATCTCAGAGCCTGGGCTGGTTGTGAAGGGTGGACCCTCCCTGCCCGTTGGGCTCCCCTTCGTCCACTCATCCATCTCTACCTGACTGACTGTCCATCTGTTCTGTCTCCACCGACCCCTCCTCCTGCTCTGTGTCGGGCCCTGGGTCCCCAGCACGGGCCCGAGCAAGGGTTTGCTGAACTGTGGAGGGCTTTGGGGCAGAGTGACCTGCTCAGGCCCCTGCAGGTCAGGGGCAGACCTGGGGCAGGAGGGCCAGTGGGGTTGGAGCCCAGCCCACCAGCTCCGTGGGAACCTCTCCCTGGTTCCGCTTCCCAGGCCCATCTGTTGCTTTCCTTGGACTGTGTGTGTATGTGTGTGTGTGTGTGTGTGAGAGAGAGAGAGAGAGAGAGAGAGAAAGGAAAACAAAAGACACCAACTTTCAACATCAAAAACAAATTCAAGAAAACACAACATTGACAGATTCCGTTTTCAGTCCAAAGAAAGCAAAACTCGCCCCCTGGTGGTCACTGAGTCTCCCCGGTCCCAGCTGCAGGCCCCTCTCCCTTTCCAGGAGAGCCCCCCAGTAGCCCCTTCTGCTCTGGTCTCTATGCATCTGCCTGTCCCAGCTCGATCATATAAGTGGAATCGTACAGTATTTCCCCTTTCGTGTCTGGCTTCTTTCTCGTAGCGTGATGTTCTTGGTGCTGATTTATGTTGTAGCATGTCAGCGTGTCCTTCTTGTCTAGAGCGGCACAGAATTCCATTGCATGGATATGCCACATTTTGTTTCTCCATTCATCTGTCGATGGACTTGGGTCGTTTCCACCTTGGGCTATGGCGAATGTACTGCTGTGAACCTTGGTGTGCAAGTATCCGTTTGAGTCTCTGCTCTTAGTTCTTTGGAATATATACCTGGGAGTGAATTGCTGGATCTTATGGCAGTTCTATGTTTAAATTTTTGAGTGGCCACCGGCCTGTGTTCCACAGCAGCTGCACTATTTACGCTTGCTTGCTTTTTCCTTTATTTACTTTTAAAATTGTAAAATGAATGCGTGTCTGTTATAGCAAATCCAGAAAATGTAGAAACCCAGGAAGAAGGTAATAAAAGTCGCCTGTACTCCTGCATATTCTTCCAGGCCTCTCTACTCCCCTTCTCTGTTTGGGGCCACCTGCGTTAAGCAGGCTGCTCCTCTTCCGGAACCTTCCCTCCCCTCCCCTCCAAGGCCCCGCCCCCCACTCCTGTCTCCCTCCCTTGTGCTCCCTGTCTCCTCTCCACCCCCCCCCCCCACCACTTAGCAACTCTTCTAACATCTTTGATGGCTCTTTTTGTTCGTAGGTTACCTCGCAAAACCTGTGTTGCTGTTTTGTAGAACACTGCAAAAGATAGATCAGCGGAGATTTTCATAGATAGGTGTAGATTTTCAATGTATGTAATCTGTTCTATTACATATCCCATTCTGCTGCTGACGTTCACCTTCACTGCCTTTAAGACCCCCAGCCTTTTCCTAACATTCATAGAAGAAGCCACAGTTGTGCCCCTAGCACCTGGTAGGTTGCACATAGTTGATGCTTAGTATTTTGTATTCTTTATCTTTGGTTATTTACTAGTCATCTCTACACCCAATGTGGGGCTTCCTGTGATTATTTATTTATTTATTTATTTATTTATTTTTAATTTTTAAAAAGATTTTATTTGAGAGAGAGAGAAAGAGAGCGTGCGTGCCAGTGTGCACAGGTGGGGGGAGCGGGAGAGGGAGAAGGACAAGCAGACTCCCCGCTGAGCAGGCTTGATCCATGGGATCATGACCTGAGCCAAAGGCAGACACTGAACTGATTGAGACACCCAGGCGCCCCCCTTAATGTTTTTTTTTTTTTTTTATTGCATACTTTTATTTTTTGTTTTTTTCAAAAGGTTTATTTATTTATCTTTAGGGAGAGAGAGAGAGAGAGGGAGACAGAGTGTGTGTGACAGGGCAGGGGCAGGGAGAGGGAGAGAATCTTGAAGCAGACTCCCCACCGAGCACGGAGCCTGACACCGGGCATGATCACACAACCCCGAGATCATCACCTGAGCCGAAACCGAGTCGGATGCTCAACCAACTGGGCCGTCCAGGCGCCCCGCATCCATTTTAAACATCACTGGAATCCAGCTGTATTGTTTTTTCAAACGTACCAAGCGAGCACTAGCATTTTCCTGCCATAGGAAGCTTCATTCAGTGGCCGTCTCATGTCCCAGAGCACAGATGCAGCGTTAATTTCTAAAGTCAATTCCTTGTTGTTAGACATTTAGGTGCTCTCTGGGTTTCTATTGTTATAAATAATGTGAATTCTTTATAATTGACGTTTGAAAAAATACATGCGCTTTTAACGCTTTTGAGAAGAATTGCTTGATTTCTGGACAGCTAATTTTGAGGACAGGCTGCTAGGGCGAAGGGGAATTGGGGTGATAAAATGGTGTGGTTCAGTGGTACAAGCATTGGCCTAGAGACATGGATTCTAGTGTTGGCTCTGCTATGACCTGCTGTGTGACCTTAGCAGTGTGCTTGACCTCTCTGAGTCCCCAAAATCTCCCCTGTAAGGTGAGGGATTGCGACTGGCTGGGGAGCGTGAGCTGGCAATTCTTTCCACATTGCTCCCCAGGCTGGCGGGCTGTTACCAGGCCCTGGATGGAGGCAACACGGCGGATGCGTTGGTGGACTTCACAGGAGGCGTTTCCGAGCCCATTGACCTGACTGAGGGCGGCTTCGCCAATGATGAGGCCAAGAGGAACCAGCTCTTTGAGCGTGTGTTGAAGGTGCACAGCCGGGGAGGCCTCATCAGTGCCTCCATCAAGGTGAGAACACAGAAGCAGCCCTCCCCTTTGCCAACCCTTCCTGGAGTGGGAGCTGGCTGTGGTGTCCCCGGCAGAGCCCCGGCTCAGACTGGCTCCTAAATCTGCACCCTCAGCCTGAGGGGAGCCGTTGGGGGGTGCAGCTCTAACCTCTATGGTATGAAATGCTTTCCGGTTTGACCAGCATCCCCCCCTTTTATGGGCATCTTGTACTGGGGCAATGGGTGTCTGTGCCTGTGAGGGTCCCCTTTGTCGGGGTTTGAGGCATCACAAGCTACAAGGTGACCGGAAGGGGGGAGCGACCCCCTGCGGCTGGCACAGTCCCGAGTGCTTCCAGAGGATTGTCTTACTTCATTGACTGCTCCTATTTCAGGTGGGGAAGTTGGGGCTCAGTGCAGACACCAACGGGGTGTTGATAGACCAGCCCTCTGGAAAAATGAAAAGCCCTGATTTGTAGCATTTGCTGATTTCTGTGGTGTAAATACTCCCAGCGTGTTGATTTCAAGCTAATGTTTTAACAGTTGCACAGTTGAGCCAGTGCCAGTGAACTCCAAAACACCCCTGGGCCAACCCCACTTTAGGTCCCTTCCTCGACCCCACACTGCTGCTCCCTGGGGGCTTTGCGAACACTGAGCTCAGTCCCTAACCACTGCCTCTGCTTTGCGTGGGGCTGCCATGCCTTCCCCGTCCTATAGGGGGCGGTGTAGGCACACTCCCCACCCCCACCCCTGCCCCTCCCACGGGAGCCTGACCGGGCTCTGCCTGTCTGGGCAACTGTGTCCTCCTGCAGGCAGTGACAGCAGCAGACATGGAGGCCCGCCTGGCGTGTGGCCTGGTGAAGGGCCATGCGTATGCCATCACTGACGTGCGCAAGGTGCGCCTGGGCCATGGCCTGCTGGCCTTCTTCAAGTCGGAGAAGCTGGACATGATCCGCCTGCGTAACCCCTGGGGCGAGCGGGAATGGAACGGGCCCTGGAGTGACACGTGAGGCCCAGGGATGCGAGTGTGGGCACAGGACAGACCCTGGCTGGGTGGGCCCCCGTGTGAGAGCTTGGGCAAGGACAAAGGTGGGCTCCCTGGAGGTGGTGGCTGGACCTTGAAGGATTTGGGAGGAGGATGACAGTAGACTTGCCCTGCAGCGGGCGTGTGTGTGGAGGGGTGGAGGGTGGATTCTGCAGGGCAAGGACCTGGAGGTGGGGATAGGCCGATTCCGGTAGGGGACAGAGAGCCCCGCCTGGTGGTGAGTGGGGAAGAAAGCAGGGAGGGAGGCCACCAGGGGTTAGAATGGGGGTGACTGCTCTGTGTTCAGCTTATGGTCCTGGTGAAGCTAGGACAGGAGCAGAGCCAGGCCCCCAGTGAGGGAGCCCCCTCCCCTGAGGGTCATTCTGCCCTTGCCCCCCGCCTGTGGCTTTGTTCTCAGACCTCCGGCCCCTGGCAGGGAGGCAGCCCATGGTTACCTGTGCAAGTGGCAGACAGGCTTTTTGGAGAGGGGCTGGGCCTGGCCCTGGTGCCCCCAACTACACCCACACTGATGGAGGCCTGGTGCTGAGCTGGCCCTCATGCCTCCTCTCCCTTGCCAGGGTGGCCCTGGTGGGGTCTCTCCTCTTACGCCCCCCCCTTCCCTCCCCATGTCCACATTCCAGCTCGGAGGAGTGGCAGAAAGTGAGCAAGAGTGAGCGCGAAAAAATGGGTGTGACTGTGCAGGATGATGGGGAGTTCTGGTGAGTGTGCTCTTGCCCCGGGTGGGCATCTGGGGCTGGGGTGGGGGGCTCCTGTGGCAGGGAGCACTGGAAGGGGAGGCCGGAACCAGGGCTCGAGCAGATGCCCCACCATCAACTTGCTCTGTGACCTTGGACAGGTCATGCCATCTCTGTGAAATGAGTCAGGCAGTAATGGGCCCATCATCCCCATGGTCCCTACTGCCAACCTCAGGGGACCCTGAGCAGCTGAGCTGCTCCAGCGCCCAGCTCCTGTCCGCTGGAATTTGTACCACATGCTTTTATCGCTTTACTGAATTCCTACACTAACTGTGAGAGAGGCGGCTATTGTGAGATTCCTTCCCATCTTACACATCGGGAAATTGAGGCCAGAAGAGCTGTGAGGCGGCCAAGCACCGCTGCGTCCACACTCGCTCCCGGGGGTGGCGGCTCAGAGCAGGGTGGGTGGGTGGGTGGGTGGGCCAGTCAGGGGACCTGGCCGGCTCAGCAGCCCGTCATGGCCAGGATGACCTTCGAGGACGTGTGCCGGTACTTCACTGACATCATCAAGTGCCGCTTGATCAATACATCTTACCTGAGCGTCCACAAGACGTGGGAGGAGGCCCGGCTGCGGGGCGCCTGGACGCGGCACGAGGACCCCCAGAAGAACCGCAGTGGCGGCTGCATCAATCACAAGGACACCTTCTTTCAAAACCCACAAGTGAGTGTGCTCAGGGACACCCCCGGCCTTCGCACCATCCTGCATGACCTTGGGTACCTCCCTGTCCCCCTGTGGGCTTCTGTGTGCCCGTTTAGTGGGGGGTGGATGGGCATGTTTGAGGGGTCCTGGGTGACCTGCAGATGGTAAAGACGAGGAACCAAGGCTCTGAGGACTCACGGGTGTCTCATCCAGAGTTACCGGGATGCTTAGAGGGAGGCTGAGCCGAGGACTCGAACCCCTTGTTTCTACACTCACAGTGCTGCTCTTTCGAGAGGAGCTTGGCCAGGCTGGCTCTTCCTCAGGGAGGACATCTCCCCTGCAGCCTCCTTAGTCATGACCCTGGCAGCTGTTTAGTTCTCATGTGTGGTGTGCCTTCCTTTGGCACCGACTGCATGCAGGCTCGGAGCTGAGCATCCATGATGTCACCGAGTCCCCCCGCCCTTCCCGCAGGGTGGGCATCACAGGCCTGGGTCACAGATGAGGGACCGAGGCCCAGAGAGGTGCCGTGACTCACCCGGGCTCTCACCCGGGTTGAGCTGGGGCCCGTCTCTGGCACGGTCTTACCGCAGTGTCTCCCTTCCTCGGCCATCCCTGCAGTACATCTTTGATGTCAAGAAGCCGGAAGATGAAGTGCTGATCTGCATCCAGCAGCGGCCGAAACAGTCTACCCGCCGGGATGGCAAGGGTGAAAATCTGGCCATTGGCTTTGACATCTACAAGGTGAGGCCAGCTGGGACCCCTGCTGTGGGTGAGGAGAGTGAGGGAGCTGGATTTTAGGCCACCTGGGCCTGGGGGAGAACACTCTAGAACACTCTGGTCACCGACCTCATCCCGCCCTCTGGCCGCAGTGGCTGATGCCGCGGGCCTGCTGTAGCGTGAGCCCTCTTTGGAACACCCACAGGGGGCCCGGCCTGCCTGGGATTGGCTGCCTGGGAGCTCTCAGCTTGATTTCTTCCCGTCCCGGACCCACAGGCTGTTTTGGTGGATGGGAAGGGGAACATTGCCGGTGGTCAGGCCACACTCTGGGAGGCCCCTGCTGCTCCCTCCCTCAGGGCTCTGGGTCCCCCTGAGTTAGAGGCCCTGCTGGGCCCTGGGAAGAAGCATCCTGGGCAGAGCCAGGCGGACTTACCCTGGCTGCTCCCACAGGCCTGGGGCCCGCGGCCCTCCTTACATTGCAACACCCGGGCTGTGACAGCACACATCGTAGCAGGACGCCACGGGCCCGCCAGACACCCAGAACCTCACAAGATCACATGGGTGCACTAGGCATGTGGGTGGAGCTGAGGCCCTGCGTTAGATGTGCTCGGTCATGTCATGACCGCCTGCGCATGTCCTCGTGTCGTGCTGGAGTGTCGTGACCTCACGTGATATGGCTGTAGCTTATCCTGGCACTCGTTCCAGGAGTTGGCTAGCATGTCCTGGCAGCTGGTGACGTCATTTCATGGACCTGGGCTGTCACGTGGGCAGACAGTGATGCTTGGTCCGTCGTGAGTCAGAAACTCCCCGACGTTGTTACCAGGGGGGTCCTGTTGTCCTCCTACTCCTAACAGCTCTGCTGAGATCTAATCCATGCCCCGCACAGTTCACTCATTCAGAGTGTACGGTGACTTTTAGTGTATTCGTAGAGTTGTGCGACCATCGCCACCATTTTCGAGCATTTTCGTCACCCCGAAAAGACACCTCGCCCCCTTCAGCCGCCACCACTCGGGCCCGTCCGCCTGCCCCGCCTGCCCGTGTCGCCCAGCCCCGGGCCACGGGCAAGCACCCGTCTGCCCCTGTCTCTGCAGATTTGCCTTCTCTGGGCACTGCATGTACGTGGATTCTGTCGCGCCTTTCACGGCGGTGCGGGAGTCAATGTGCGACGCGGCCGGGGGGCGGGGGCGCGCGGAGGGAGGCGTGCGTGCAGCCCAGCCCCCCCTCTCCCCGCAGGTGGAGGAGAACCGCCAATACCGCATGCACAGCCTGCAGCACAGGGCCGCCAGCTCCATCTACATCAACTCACGCAGCGTCTTCCTGCGGACGGACCAGCCCGAGGGCCGCTTTGTCATCATCCCCACCACCTTCGAGCCGGGCCACACTGGCGAGTTCCTGCTTCGGGTCTTCACGGATGTGCCCTCCAATTGCCAGTGCGTGGGGGCTGCTCAGGGCTGGGATTGGGAGGCCCGAGTCCCATACCAGGCTGACCTGGAATCTGCAGCCCAGGGATGTTACGTGTCTGCCCCGGGCATGGAGGCCAGCCCTCTGGCCTCCCTGGGCTGACTCTGGCACCCATGGCCTTCCTTCTCCTCCCTTCCCCTGCTCCTCTGTCCCAGCCTCTCTTGGCTACGTAAAGGGACGGTGTCTCATATGTGCATAGCACTTCACAGTTTACAAAGCTTTCACTCGTCTCATTTGCTCTTCCTGAACCCTAAGTGGGGGGCCTGACCCCCCATTTTACAGATCAGGGTTGGGGATCAAGGTTGGGGGCGGTTTCCAAGGTCATGACCCCAGTGGTCGAGTTGGGCTAGGCAGACTGCTGGAGCCATGCCATCCCTGCTGGGGTGCAGACCCTGTGAGCCCCACACTGCCCTCCCACCGTGGCAGGCAGTCCCGATTCAGTGCTCCTTGCACCCACGGCACACCTGGAGGCAGCATGTATGGTGGGCTCAGTGGACCTGAGTCCTGCCAGTCCATGTTCCGCCTCTGTCCCACTTTGGGGCAAATCCCTTCTGGTGAGCCCAGTGCTTCGTAATCCGTAAAATGGGCATGGTAATAGTCACCTATCACCCAGGGCTTTGGGAGGATTACAAATAATGCCTGTAACATCCCAGCAGAGGGTTTGGCCCACAGCAGGTGCTCAGTAAATTGCTTTTCTCTCGGGGAGGATGGGGCACCCCTGAGAGAGAGCAGCAGGAAGCCCATGGCAGTTTGCCCCAGGATGAACGATGTCTGGACTAAATACTGCTCCCCTCCCCTTCCCCCTTCTTGAATCCCCTCCCCTTCCATCTCCCTCGCCCCCTCCATCACCTCACCCCTCTCCCCCTCCGCCCCATCCCAGGGAGCTGCGCCTGGACGAGCCCCCCCGCTCCTGCTGGAGCTCCTTGTGCGGCTACCCCCAGCAGGTGACCCAGGTGCACGTCCTAGGGGCTGCTGGGCTCAAGGACTCCTCCACAGGTGAGCTCACCTGGGGAAAGCTCTGGGACCCACCTCACCGAGGAGGTACCCCATGCCCTCTCCCACTGCTTAGCAACAGACATCCAGCCTCTAGAACTCTCCTGCTCTCCCTCCCTGGGTGAGCAAACCTTTCCTAACATCCACCCTGGGCCCAGCCTTGGAATGAAACTGGGTGCCTAGAGAGGAATGGGCTCTGCCACCTGCTCTTGGGCAGCTTCTGGTGTGGGGGGACAGTCAGACACAGGGACAGACCGCTGGGAGGCACGGCTTAGGGAAGGCTTCCTGGAGGAGGTGGCCCTTCTCCAGGCTGAGGAAGCATTAAGATATGCTGGTGAAGTGGATTAGGGGAGAAAAATGCTCGGGGCAGGGGGAATAGCATGGAGGCCAGGGATGGCCAGCGTGCCCCCTCCTATCTCTGAAAGTTAGGAAGTGAGTCAGGCTCCCTTTTCCTGAATGTGGGAACTCTGGCTTCTGCTTTGGGGAGGGGAACTCACCTCCCAGACATCTGTCCCTTTGGGTCCTGCCCCAGCCCCCACCATCACCCCATTGCCCATGCGATTTCTCTAGGGGCCAACTCTTATGTGATCATTAAGTGTGAGGGGGACAAAGTCCGCTCGGCCGTGCAGAAAGGTACCTCGACGCCCGAGTACGACGTGAAAGGCATCTTCTACCGCAAGAAGCCAGGCCAGCCCATCACAGTCCAGGTGAGCCTGCCCCATCCCAAAGGCCCCTCCTGGGCCCCCTGCCTGACGCGTCCCCCCTCACAGGGGCTGGGCCCAAAAACAGTACGTGCTGGTTCCCACTCTGTCCCTGACTTGGTAGGGGCTCGGGAATTCTCTTACTGGCCCTTTCCCGTGCCCCGGAGTCTGTGAGGTGGGCGCGTTGGATTAGCTGGTGTGATTTAGGGACACAGCAGGGTCAGGCCAGGGACAGTGGTCATCTCTGCCAGTGGCTTGGGAGTTGCTCCTTAAATCACTCTGGAGATGGGTCTACCTGGAGAGCTTGCACCAAGATGAGATGCCCTGTGGTGCGGGTGGCTGTTTCCCCAAGAGCGAGGGACCAGAAAGCCAGGGTCCTGGGCATGGGATGATTCTGGGCTCATTAGCGGGAAGTCTTCTGTCCCCCAGGCCCAGGACAGCCCCTCCGTGGCTGTGAAGCCACTATAGGATTTCCAAACTTTCCTAACACTGTGTCCCACTGGATCAAATCACAGACCCATAGATGTTAGGGCTGAAAGGACCCGTAGGGGCCATTGATCCAACCCTCGTATTGAAGATAGGGGAAGTCAGGGCAGCAGGTGTTTCACTTGTCCAGTGTCACCTAAGGTCAGCGGCAGAACTAATAACACACTTAACTGTACACGTGGAAGAGAGTTGGACAGATGGGAGGAAGCCTGAGGCTCCGGAAGGGGTACGGCCAGACCTATATTCCTGCTCTTAAAGTTGCCCCCCGCCCCCCCCCCCCATGATCTGCTGTCTCCTCCCAGATCTGGAACCACCGAGTCCTGAAGGACGAATTCCTGGGCCAGGTGCACCTGAAGGCTGACCCCGATCACCTCCAGGCCCTGCACACTCTGCACCTCCGGGACCGCAACAGCCGGCAGCCTAGCGACCTGCCCGGCACTGTTGCTGTGCGCGTCTTCAGCAGCGTCTCCCTCGTGGCCGTCTGACACCTGCCCACCTGCCTGGCCTCCACAGTTTTACCGTCTGCATGTCCCCAACCTGGCCAGGGACTAGCCTGGGAGCCAGGACGCTGGGGGCCTCTTCCCAGCTTTTCCACTGACTTGCGGGGTGACCTGGGGAGGCCTCTGCCCTTCTCAGGGCCTCAGTGTTCCCAGGCCCCCTGAAGCGTTCCCTTCTCATGGAGGGGCCTTCCTCTGAGGTTGACAGTAGCTCTCCTTCCCCCAACTGTCACCACTGCGAAGGGACTCTATCCGTCGAAAACGTTTCCCCAAGGCCCTGCTGTCTGCAGACGGAGTGCCAAGATGCCACTTGTTTACACGCAATCTGCCACGTCCCCAAACCCCACTCTTGCCCCTTATGTCCTGGGCCCGCCCCTGTGAACCAGACCTTGCTTTCTCTGTCACCGACACCTGGTTTGCTAGCCACCTTGAAAGGACTCTCAGCTCTCGCTGGGTTCCTGCTTGGGCTGGAGTCAGGAAGATGGGCAGGTGACATTTGTTCATTCTCTAATCCTGTCCGCTTGCCCATCCACTTATTTATTCAACAGAGATTTGCCAAATGAATGAACGATGCCCATGAGGCCCCCGGTGGTGCCAGGCATCTCCCTGCTGCTCTGGGAGACCCGGCGTCTGTCCTGGGCCTCACGCCTGCTCTCAGGTCCTCTCCAAGGCCAAAGCCCAGACGCCCAGGTGCCCAGATTCCCAGAGGAGTTATGGCCGCCATCTCACCCCAGGCTCTGATTTCATTCCTAGCCTCGGTGAAGGCCCCTAGTGGGATGGCGGCAGCGGTGGGGAGGAAGGGCATCTTCCTGGCTCTACTGCCTTCATGCCAGGAGGTGTGTGCCTGGTTTGGTGGGCCAGGAGGGTGTGGGGAGGCCTGGGGACCTGAAGGCCCCCTTCTGCTGCAAGACCTGGGCTTTTCCCGGGAGGAGGGACCCTCGGGCGGTGGTCTCAGGCCCACGGGGCTCAGGTCACTTGTCGGGCTTGGCAGGAGACAGGTAAATCCATCACCTGACCAGAGGCCCCTCTCCCAACATTCCCCCCCCAGAATGCAGCCAGAGAGGCTATGGCCTTCCTCTTGCTGCCTGGACCAAAATGTTCCTTTAGGCCTCAATGTTTTATATTCTTGATGTGTTACCAATTTTAACCAGGGGCTTTTAAAGGAAAACTGAAAGCCTGAACCCCTTTTTTCATCTTCCAACTCCAGTTCCTGTGGGCCTCTGATTTGATTTTGATTCTGCGGGGGGAGGGATGAGGAGAAGTCCTGCCTTCTCAGAGGAGGCCCACAGGGGGGTGAAGAAGAGGGTGTTTTCTACTTGGATGTATCGCTCCCTGGTCCCCCCGGGTTCTCGGTGAGTGTTGGCGCCACGACCTGCTTCGGTCCCTTCTGTGCCCTTCTCTGGCTCCAGACCAGGCGACGTAAATGAAAAGCCCAGTGGGTTCAAGAACAGGAATTCCTGTGGCCTTGCTGGGGATTCCTTCTGGGCACCTGAACGTTTGGCTCCTGAGCTGGCTGTTCGGTGCTGTGTCCCGGCTGAAGATGCTGGATTCTCGAGCTCCTCTCCTCCAACCGGGCTGGCTCTGCTCATGTGTCCTGGCGCCCAACGCGTAAGGGGCTAGCACCTGAATAACGAGAACAAGGGGATTCCTTCTCGAAAAGCTGGGACTTCCCCTCCAGAGCCTGGGCCTGGGCCTGGGCCAGGTCCACATGATCACAAGCAAGTCACTGAAACCTCCTGTGCCTCGATTTCCCTTCTGCGAAGTTTGTCGGCACTCTTACTAACAAGTGCCGAATAAGGGCAAAACCACACCCATCATGCATCTCTGTATGCGTGCACACTACATACCTGCGTGTAATCACCCCTCAGTGTCTTTTCCAAGTGAAGACTCCCGACTTAGGGTGGAGAGATGAGGGCCAGGCAAGCCAGCTTGGGGCCTCTGGGGCCGACACCTGGGTCTTTGCTCAGCCACGCCCTCCTGGGCTAGGGGGCAAACCAGGACCAACCGGCAGACCGGTGTGGGCTTCAGTCGGGGGACGGGGCACTGCCTCCTCCCTCTATCCACCCCAAAAAAACCAGGTTTGGCAGCCCTGCCCTTGCTTGCTGCCCCTGTGAGTGGGCCAGGCTGGCGTCTGGCTGTGCAAAGGTCCCTGGTCCCTGGGCAGGTGAGGATGGAGTTCTCAGAGTCCCCACTTGCCGCTGGGCAGGGCTTCTGGTCATACCGCCTGGATGTGGGCTTCACTCCCCTCGGCCAACCGTGGGGTTAGAGAGGAGACCTGTTCTGTTCTCAGAATAAACATTACCACAATCCCAGAGAGACTTTCTTGCATCTGTCTGTCTCTCTGGGGGTAAGGGACAATGGAGGGAATATTGCCAGCTGAGGCGGGGCCCTGCTGCTGGCCTGGTGCATCTGTGGGCAGAGGTCACGGGGATTAATTCCGTCATTCCTTCAGCTGGCCTTGTCCCAAGCCCCATCCTAGGCACTGGGGATGCAGGGAACCAGCCGGTCCCATCTGTGGGGCAGTCCACACACTAGGGGTGGGGGGAGGCCACTGGAAACACTCTGATCCTAACAAACACCCTGCAGGGAGTGACTGGAAAGGCAGCGTGGGTTTTGGGGGCTTCCAGCCTACCTGGGAGGGAAGGTCGATGCCCTAGTTCAAGGGGACAGTGGAAGGAGAGAGGCAGCCACAGGAAGAGGAGCTGAGTTTGTAGGGCACAGGCGGATGGAGAGAGGCCAGAGTGGAGGCAGTTGGGGGCAAGAGGCTGGCAGCTCCAGCCAGGAAGCTGGGGGGTAGGGGCCGGGGAGAACTAGTGGACAGATTTGGGAGGTCGAATGGACGGAACTCAGGGATGACGGGGTGGGGAGTGAGGGAAATCAATGAAGGCCAATTTGTAGGTTTCTCGACAGGCCCGTGAGCAAAGGACATTATGAATGCTGAGCCCTGCTTAGCATAGAACATGACCGTGGGTGCTAAATCGTTGCTGTTACAGCATCCAGGGACCACTGCAGACCTCTCCACTCCCTACCACTCGGGCCATCCTCACAGATCAGGCCTGCATTCTGCCTCCCCGTTCCTCTCTGTGTCTCTCCGTTTGCCCGTCTGTGCTGGCCACCTCCAGCCTGGGAGGCTCAGCAAGGGAGGTGATGGGAGGAGGGGTGGGCAGCAAATGGCAGTGGCCCGCGCCAGCCCAGCAGTGGGGACGGTGCCCGGAAGCATCCCCTGCCCAGGCTGCCTGGCTGAGCCCGCTCTGGCAGCGGGGGGCCTGCAGGGGTCAGGAGTGTCGAGTCAGAGTCTCAGCGTCCCCGCATTGTTGCTTCTCCCCTGCTGCTCCAGGCAGGACGCTCAGCCTTGCTCCCATGGGGCTCAGAGGGCAGCTGTGCCCGCGCCCAGCAGGTGGCACACTTGGGCCTCCCATCCCATTCTTTGGGGGATGGCCTCTTCCCTGCCGACGCCCCTCAGTTACAGAGGCGGGGGGCTCCAAGAGTGCATCCCTCTGCCCAGGCCAAAGTTGCCCCCAGAGAGGCCCACACTGATGGGGCCGTGGCCAGGGTGGCAGGAGGCGGAGGCTGGTGACCAGGACATGCCAGGACTCAGTGAGGAGTCCTCAATGTTACTGCCTTTGCCATTGCTAGTTAACACTGTACTCCCGTTTTGGCCCCACCTCACACTTTTAAATCACAGTATTTCACTTTGATTCATATGTGTCCCTGGTACAGGCAGGGTTGCTCCAGGTCAGTTGGGTTGAGAAAGTTTCCTGAATGATTATGGACCACACCCCCACCCCCACCCCCACCCCCAGAGCAGGGTATGGGGACAGTGTTGAAGTGAAGAGCTTCAGGGGGCACATCGGAGGGGAGCGCTTGGGAAGTGGGTCTGGGGAGTGGGTGGTGTGTGTACAGGGGCTGGGGAGAAAGGGCCAGAGCCTGGGGCTTGCAACCTGCTGCCCAGCCCTGCCGGTCTTCTCCTCTCAAGAGTGTCAAGCAGGCATTTACAGAGAAGAAAACAGGCTTGGTGGAGGGCAGGCAGGTGCTGAGACTCAGCAAATTGGTGACCGGTGACCGGCCGGGTGGGAGGTGCCCCGCCCACGCGCGGGGAGCAGGGGGCGGTCCTGCGTGTGATTGCAGGCAGCTGGGCACCGGGAGCTTGGGCCTGAGTCCCACCCTGCTCGGCGGCACAGCCGAGGGACCCCAGGGCCCCGGCCTCCCCCCTGCGCTGATGTCACGGCATCCGGATCTCGGAGGCCCCTCTGACTCCGCCTCCTGAGGGAAAGCTCTGGAGTGGGGTGTGGGGAGGGCAGCAGTGCTGCTGGACAGCCGCTCGGGAAAGAGAGAGAGAGGCTGAGAGGGAGACAGACGGTCACACAGGGAACAACTGACCGATCCAGAGAGACCCCCACAGTGACGAGCCCCGGAGCAAGATGGAGCAAGAGGGGACGTGTGTCTGCAGATTGTCCCAGCCCCGGGACCCCAGGCCTTGAGCCCTTCGTGCAGGGGACAGCCGCCTCCAGGCTGGTGGGCAGCTGAGAGTGGGGAGCTGGGACCAGGGTAAGCATGGGCTGCCGGCTCTCCGGGGCTGTGGGAGAAGGGTTTGCTGGGTGTCAGGGAAATCATGGGCTTGGGCTTCCCTGGAGCCCTTGCCCCCACAGCCATTTGGTCCTGGTCTAGGCCCCCTGCCACATTTGGGGGTCCAGCCACAGCTGCCACTGAATGAAACTGTCCTGAGCCTGGACAGACGGAGCCTTGTAGCCTGGAGCAGGGCAGAGTCAAGGGGCATGGTGTCCATTGAATGGTCTCTGACCAGGCCTGGGGCAGGGGGCAAATGTGCTGGGGATACGAGAGAGAGACAGAGACAGAGACAGAGACAGAGACAGAGTTTGAGAGAGAGAGAAAGAGACTCTTTGGGCCCCTGACACTCTCCCTTGATCTCTTTATCTCCCTCTCTCTTTGGATAAGCGACTTCCGTCCTCTGTGCTTCAAATTTCCCTTCTGTGAAATGGGAATAGGGTTGTTGTGGGGACAAGGTAAGGTCAGTCATGGACATAGAAGTGTAAATACAGTTTTGTTTTCCCCATTGTCAATTTGAAAAGCAATTAACTTAAACGTGGGCTAGTTCTTATTTTCAGGAAGAAGTTTATCTTGTACCTTTTTCCTTCTGTGTGCCTGTTAAATTCCATGCCCCTTCCACCTCCAGGACCCTGAAAGGCCCGGCTCCGCCCCTGCTCTTGAGGCTCACCCTGGTGCAGGAGGCCCGGGCAGCCGCTGGGCACCCTGCTCAGACTTGGCTCCCCACAGCAGCCGCCTGCCAGCCCTGTTGAATTGCCCGCCCCACCAGCCGGGCTGGGTGCCGGTCTCCAGAAGAACTGCACGCCTGCTGTGCTCTGGAGCTCCAGGGCAGGGGTCAGGGCTCAGGTGTCAGGCAGTGTCCTGGACAGAGGATCAAATGCCCCAGTGCCCCTGAATGGGCCTTGTGAAAAATTGATGCTCACCCTGGGGGGCAGGTTGGGGGGCAGAAGGGCCTCCCACCATGGCCTGTGGGCTGCGGCTGCCTTGGATCACCATGCTTGGTCCCACAGTTCCTTCCTGAGCAATCTCTGGGCCTGGCCCTAAACTGTGTGAGGTAGAGGCCGAGCCCACCCCCTGCCCTGGATTAACTCCCCAACTTTAGGGGGACAGAGGTGGGGACAGACCCTGACCTGACAACATAATGCACATAGTCAGGGCTGCATAGACGGAAACATCAGGGCTCTTGTCAGCCTAGGGGTGGTCAGGGAAGGCTTCTTGGAGGAGGTACTGTCTGAACTGAGCCATGAAGAATAGGTGGGAATTTACTAGTCAGAATTCCAGGCGGAGGGGTCCGTGTACGCAGAGGCCAGGAGCTATGAAAAGGGCTGGCATGTTTCAGGAGAAGTGAGTGCCGGGGATAACCCAAGCGTCAGGGAGGGGGTAGGGAAAGGGCAGTGAGAAGTAAGACTAAGACATCAGTAGGAGCCACGTGGTACTGGAGCCCCCATCCTGAAAGCAGTGGGTGCTCTGGGGAAGGGTTTTAGGCAGAGCATTCCATGAGCAGGTCATGCTCGCCTGTGACCCTCCCCTTGGGCCTGGCTCCTCCTGTCACCCAAACTCCTGGGGCAGCCCTGAGCTGGGAGGCCAGAAATCAAGTCCTGGTCCTGAACTTGCCCTGCCCTGCTGTGTGACTTTGGCAGGTCTTGGTCCCTCTCTGTCTTGGTTTCTCCCGTATGTCCAGGGCAGGGGGCTAGACTTGCTACCTCCTAGGAGCCCTTTAGAAATCTCTGAATGACCGTAACCAAGAGAAGAGCTCAGCTGCTCTGGGCAGTAGAGCTAGTGACGGTGGCTGAGGCTCAGGGCACGCAGGCTGGGCTGTGGCCAGAGGGAGAGAAGCCAGGGAGGGAGGGTTCCCCAGAGGGAGGAGTGGCTGAGGCTTTGGAGAGCCCAGGTGACCCCAGCCAGGCTCCCAGCTGCCAGGGCTGGCCTGCTCAGAGGCTTCGCATGATCTCTGCCCCCACAGAACTGTATCTGGCCAGGCAGGGGGCCCGAGCATCTGACGAAGGACAATGGTGATTCTTCAGCAGGTGAGTGCTCTCCGCACCCCACTGGTCTTCATCTGTCTATGCCCGGAAGAACCCTGTTGCGTGGCTCATCCCACCCCATCCCACATTCTCATCCCTCTGGTTAAACCATAGGACACCCTCCCCAGTACTTCCTTTTAGAAGCCACCTATCTATGCTTCAAAACCTAGCGGCGAAACTCTCCCTGCTCGCGAAGGCCCAGTCTAGAACTGCTCCCTCTGATGTGTCTGCTGGGGCCTTCCCTTCTCACTACACTCACCCCTACCGGGTAGAACGTATTTTTTTACATTATCTCTAACTCCCCAGGCATTCCAGGAAGTAGAACAGCAGGTGCAAAGGCCCGAATGTGGGAAAGCCTTTGGGGACAGGGAATAGGAAGTTGGTCAGTCTAGTGAAGCCAGACCAGGAAGGGCCTTGAGCCTGACAGGGGAGCAAAGAGTGGGGGATCACCTGCTTGGAGCTGGGGTAATATGGGAAAGGTGCTGGCCTCTAACCCTCCTTTCTTCCCAGGGCCACAGTGGCCCCTGACCCTCAGCCCTTCCCCGTGATCAGCCTGAGGCTCTACTGAGCTCCTGGTCTCCAGAGCCAGGAATGTGGGCCCTGAGCCAGGTCAGCTTGGCACCAAGCCCTCGGGCTGGTGGGAGTGTGTGCCATGGGGGCTTGGCCAGCAGCTTCACATCCACCAGGCCCATCAGAGGCCAGTGGGCAGCCTTGTTCTGCAG